TCGGCACTTTTATCCAGATTTGCACTAAAAGACGAACATTTAGTGGCGCCATCCCCAACAACGCCAAGTTTGGGCTGCGTGGCACTTGTAAAATCCGATGAGTGATCAAAACAAAATGCCATCACTCTCATTGGATGAAATAATGAATATAAAAAAGCAGCCCTTTGGGTGCGAGAGCAAGAGATAAAATTCCCGCTGAGTGCTGACAGGCGATGAAAGAGTACGTTTGCCTTTCCTGGCACACAAAGAAAAGAAAATCCAGCGGAGCAGAACTGAATTTTAGCCACGCCAAAATGTCAAATGATTTTCTGACATGCAAGGGGAAGGCGATGATGGATAACTATGGAGATTCACTTGGCTCTGCAACTGAGGAGGTGGGTTTAAGTACTGTGCTGCGCCACGCGCTCGACTGTGCTGCACAGGAGGTGCCGGGGGGCATTAAGCTGCCAGGTGAGTGGAAATCCCCCCTCAGCGCCACTCCACCTTCTCAAGATGTGAGGATCCCACAAACAGACGCACACGGTGCACAGTCGAATATTTGTGTGCGCAAGTCACTCACCAGAGGTCCAATCTTGCTCGTCGCTTCCTTTTGCGCTTGTTGATGTTCAGAGGGACGGCACGGCTCCTCACGCTCACCTATTAAAATAGACACGAGTCAGGAAGCGGCTCCGACTGGCGTTAATTCTGACAACACCGTGAACGCTTGTCCCAGTTTGACTTTGGATGAAAATTATGAAGACATTAATTATACCAACACCGTGAGAGTGCTTGTCCCAGTTTGACTTTGGATGATAAACATGAAGGAGTGCTCACATCTTATTTGTTTTGCTCGACCTGTTTTAACACCGCCAGACAACACAATCAAAGAGAAAAATTTGCATCTTGTTCAGGTCGTGCGAGCTATTCATTTTCCCAGGGCCAGACACTTGTTGATTCGGAACCATGTGAACACGCGCAAAAATTTGTTGCGTGAAATTATATGAATGTGTTCTATTATCTTAATTTCTTAGCATTTCTATCGGCTGCACTACTTCCAGTGTAAGCATGTTAAGAGTATGTTACCATTATTTCTGTGCAGGTTTTTTTTTCCTGTATGTATGCGCGGTACTAATGTTCAAATTGAAAATATTCCGGCATCCACACAAATAATTCATTTCTCTTTTGAGCAATTTAACTCAATCATGACAGCATTTTCCAGTGGTCACAGTTTCTGCAGAACTCAAAATTTCTACTTTCATCAAAGAACCACCAAGAACCAACGTGGTCAGCTAAGCCAAAACCTTGAAGTGCACATCTGCTGGAAACACACGCACTCAAGATATTTAGGGCTAATTTCTCAAAAACACACCCTTGAGTTGATTCCCCCCACCCCCTCTTTTACCCCTGTGTGGTAGGTATGCAGTGCATCTCATGTGGCATACACTGTGGCATAACTAGCCAAGAAGATGAGAGAGGATGAGCAAATTGCAGGGTTTGCTCCGTGGGTGGCTGAAATTTGGACAGGGTGGGCGGGGTTGCGGGAGGACAGTGCGTGTCACGGAGCCCATTTGTTTAGCCTGCATAAGTGTACAAAAACATGATCTTCCAACTGGGATGTGGCTGTGTTCGGAATGAACTAAAAACATTCAGTCATGTTAACTGCGAGTGAAAACACACTCGCCGCCATTTAAAGTGCCTCTGATTAATACCAAATAAACTCCAGCTGTTCTATAGTCGTCTCGTCCCGACAAAAATGGTTTTGTGCTAATAAAAGTTTTGTCCTTTGCCCAAAACCTCTTCAAAGTTCCATTTAACTTCCTTTAATTGCTTATGTAGACCCGCTCAAAAAAAAAAAAAAAAAAATCTACAGAGTATGCAACCAAGCAGCCCCCTGGAGGGATTGTTCTTCTTCTGCATAGACAAAAAAAAGCACAAAGAAGAGCATTTCTTTCAGGATTATGTTGGCCCTCACTAAAGAACCCCCCCCCCCAAAAAAAAAATCCCTGTGTAGTCTGCTCTGAGACCAGGATAAAAGGTAGCATGTGGGGCCCACAATCAGCCACTTTTGTCCTGCCCAGAAAATAAGAGCCCGTCTCCCTGATCCGCCAGAACAATACCAGTACCACACTTCACTTTGAAGCTGTCAGGTGGACCTGCGCTGTTGTCTGGGGATGCGGGGGGTTATGGTGAAGAGCTATCTTCTCTGAGACAGATGAGTGAGGAGATAGTGAGAGATATCTTCAAACACAAACGCGATGTTCAAAACCCTGTCTGCGGTACTGAAAACGGTGGAGGTCGGAAGAAGTCATGTGATCATGTGATAAAAGTGACAAAAAGGTGGTGCAGGTCACCAAAGTTATGAGCTAGATTTCAAAATGAATCATGTTTTTTTTTTTTGCGAAATGGCAGCCTTCAAAGGTGCATCCTTTTTCCATCACTTATGCGTTTAAGCCTCTGGCATTTAGTTGGCAAGAAATATACACAAATATATATTATACACAATATTTCCTCAAGATGGAAATCACTGTTGATATAGGTTCAAAGTTTATACGCACAGTAGTGAAACAATCTACAAGACACCATAATGAAACTGGTTTACTCATACAAATCGACTGACAATTTCTATATACTGTAATTTTAAAACACATTTTGATTGAGAATAATGCAACATGCAAAAAAAAAAAATCATCTGCACAGTTGATAAGGGTTTTAGGATGGCATCAATTAATCCAGGATATTTTTTTGTCTTTTTTTTAGGGTGAAATTGGATCAATTTGGGAGTCAACAAGATACACAATACTTAACTATGACATTCACTGCAATGCTAAACATAAATTCATAACAGCAGTTTTCTAATTGGTGTGCGGCTCGAGCAGCTACAGATAGTCATCGACTTGGTACTGAACTACCAGCAATTTCTTTTGCTCCGATTTCATTTTTCAAGGCCCTTCTTTTCCGAGCATGTGTTGTCCTGACAGACACACTAAGTACTTGGAGTATCTTCAATGTCTTCCAGGGATCATCTTTGATCCACAGCAAGAATCTGGCTGTATAAAAGCCCCATTTATCTTTTTCTTCATCACGCCCAGTCAAAACTCATATGGAGGGCATTTTCACCACAGCCGTGACATAGGAGGAGGTGTTTGGCTTCCTCTGACACGTTAACGCTCAGGGCGAGCTTGTCCGCTGCAGAGTCCACGAGATGGTTTCGGTGGAAATGAATTGGAGTGGCGTGGCATGGAGTTATTCTGTCGGACTCAAAACAGAAGCAGGTGCTTCTGCTCATAAACAGCCCGGGTGGATGTGAGCTGCTCATAAACATTACAATCAAAGGAGGCTGCCTCGTGTACTGTATTGTTCAGTGGCAACCTCCGGGCTCGGCCCTCAGCCGATAATTACGGATTCATATTCGAAATGAGCCCCAGAGATCAGCGGAGGAGGAAAAAAAATGTGTTCGCTGTCCAACTCTGTCTCATGATTTTTATCAGAGGATTACCACTTCCTGCTTCCTGTTTGCTTCCTCTCGGCCATGCAGCTGCTGAGCCGATGCCAGCCAGAAAGAGTGTTCGACTGCAGATAGCGCATGTTAATTGCACCCCCCTTCCTTTTTCTTTCCTCCCCATCTGTCATTCTCACATCTGGTTTATTTTGGGGGTTTTTTTGTTTTTTGTCTGCTAGGGTTTGTTGCTACCTCATCCAGACTTCACCCCGAGGACGCTGAGGAGTCTGTGTGCCAGCTGTGTGTGGCCACTTTAAAGAGGAACCACAACAGAGACATCTAATCAGTGGCAAGGAAGGTATTACTGGATAAATGAAGAGCTCCCGGGCAAAATTAGGACAAAACGGAGAGGGCGAGCTTAGACCGTCGACTGACGACTCTTAGTAAACTGCAGATTGAAATGGAAAATGTTTAAAATATACAAGGTGTTCCAAAAGTTATTACACACTTCCTTTTTCCGATTTTGATCGAGGCAACATTCGGACATACAGTATGTGAGAACCTCAATATTTGACAGTTTAGGCTTGTCGGTTTTGTCAGTTTATCATTCCCCTGCCCATGGCTTGCCAATTGACAATGGAGCAGCATTGCAAAATTGCCACCAATTGCCAAGTTTTCCTGTCCCAAAGTGCAGTTCAGACACCGTTCGCTTGAGTAGCTTTAAGGCCATCATAAGGTTCCAAAGCATAGTACAATTTATACGATCCATGCAAAGTATCTCAAAGCAAGATCTGTTATTGACACATGCACGCAGCAGAACAGATACTACCTTCACTGATGAAAACAGCAAACTCCCAGAGGCCTTGGACACGTTCGTGGATTTGTATGTCGGTGTAGTTATATCACACAGCTTTCATCTGCACAAAATGTATTGAACATTCATCAAATGAATGTCTGAAATTGTGTTTACACAAATGTTGGCACAAGTCCACCGTGTTACAACACAATGAAATGTTGCTGTTGAATACTCCGCAGGTGTTGACACACCTGCTCCTGCCTCAACTATCAGGCAGCCATAGAGCTTTTGAACCTGCGCCCACATACTCGCTTTGTTTAGAATTCCATCATGGAGCTACGTGCTATTTAAAAAAAAAAAAAAAAAAGAGCAGGCTTGTTAGTCCACTTAGAACCTGAAATGGGTTAAAAGAACACTTCAGACCACTGACATTTAACAGTATTAATAGTATTGGAGGGAATGTTACATTATTAGCATTTCTGTCATGAGTTGACGCCACTGCTGATTTAATGGCTGGTTAACATAATTATCAGTGCGTATAATTTTATACTGTGGTTATAAGAGCAAAACATAAATTAGACGCTGTCTGGTGCCTTATAACTTGCATTTACATCCATTTTCCTCATACGTACTGTACGTCGATGACATCACATTGAAGGTCTAAGCGCACCACCTGTTGAAGAAATGCTGCAATTGTACTTTGAAGCAGCTCCTAGATTGAGCTCGTCATGCCTTGGGAATACGTCAAAACATTCATTCAGGCGAAACACAAAGCAACAAGAATGGTTAAAATGTATCTTGAAATATATTTATTATACACGACGCTGTTACGAAGCAGCAAAGCACTGCTTATTTTCACCAAGAGGGGAGAGCAAATTTTGCTTTGTGCATGTTTTCACACAATTCTGTAAGAAAAAGAAATACAGGCTGCATAGCGAAGATAACTTTTTAAAATTAATATCATAAAAATTGAGAGAATATGGTATACTTATAAAATTTCACAAATACAGTAACTTGATTCCCTACTACAAATATGAGCAAAGGTATTCTCTCCTGAATCTCAAACATTGCATAATCTGTTGTTGCTGTCCAGTGCGGCCACTCTCCGATCCGAACTCTGGTGCTCCCCAGTCAGGCTTTTTCCCAGAGTGCTTCATTTGCTGTCCACACTTACTTAGCGGCATCCAGACGTCAAGCAGCACCTCCTGCAGTGCGCTCACTTTACTGTCCATCAACTTTGTCTGTGTAGCAAAGCAAAAAAAAAAAAAAAAAAGGCATCATGTGGACTTTTCTTCGAATTCAGCTGGAAATATTTTTATTTAGTTTTCTCAAATGGTATACTACGTTGAACAAAAACAATTCATCCCAAACGGCAGCCTGACACCTGTACTGTTTACATCATTAAAAGAACACAAAATGCCCGAAAAGCAGACATTTACGGCAGAGAAGAAATGCAAAAGATATATATTGTTGTAAGCATTCATCTATACATATAAAGGCTTAATTCTAACAAACACAACTCCATAACTTTGCCTTACAAAACTCTACAAGCTTAATACTAAACACAATGCAAAACACCATAGAAAGTGTAATGTTGCGGTAACAAAACCCTTTAAGGAATGGATATTTGAAAACAAATGGTGAAGCAACACATGGAGAAACAGATTAATCACTCACTGGCAAATCTTTATCCTCAGCGAAAAATAACTTATTACTGCAGTTACTGCGTCAGGTGTAAACTTTTCCTCGTTTGTGTCTGTATGTTTGTATTGTACTGCCCACTGGTGGCCAAGATGCGCACACACCAGAAGGCACTAAACGGGCTTCGACCTGAGTAACGCCATTTCCATTCATTTCAATGGTGAAAGATGATTTGAAAGTTACGTTATAAACATGGAAGGAATTTTACTCATAAGTCAAGGCACCGCAGTAGTTGTAACAGAATAAATTGTCTGAATGCAAATTTTCTGCACCATAGAAAATGTTTAAAACAATCAAGGTAGCGTCACCAATTCTCAACAAATACAAGTCGAAGATAAAAAGTATAACTCAGGGATTACATGGGAATGTCGTCATGGTATCCGAGACGAAAGTTATTTACTCCTGCCAATGGGTTGACAATGGTCCTCAGTTCATTTAGTTGTTAATATTTGTGCTTGGTGACAGCATTTCTCTGCATTCAGGTAGAATTTCTGAGGGAATTACATATTCTCTGACTGTACCTTTAGGGATGAACTTCAGTGAGCTGCTGAATATTCAAAAACGAGACAAGCCTCTGCCGGGCCCGTCGTTGACAAACTCGTGGCCTAGGCCATTTCCACACTTGCCGCACAGAACCTGGAGTTAAAAATAATAATAATAATAATCCAATGAGTGCTTTGTATGGCTGTCACAAGCCAATATTTTTAAAATTGATTATTCTGTCCATTATTCCATCAACTAATCGGACAAAAAATGATTTTGTATTTGAGTTCACTGCACAATCAATGTAAATCCAAATAATAATATGTGTGTGTGTGTGTGTGTGTGTGTGTGTGTGTGTGTGTGTGTGTGTGTGTGTGTGTGTGTGTAGAAGCTGAAGTTTGACGTTTTGGACAATTTGAGGTTAACCCACAGGGCTAAGAATTAATTAGCGAAATAGTTGATTACTTTGATGATTGATAAGTTGTTGAGTAATCGAATTATTGTGACCCCTGTAGTGTTTTGTAATAGACATCAATTTGTGACTTTCTTGCGATTGTACCTTGAAGGCTCCAGGTCTCTCCTCATGTTTGGCCACACTGTCTTGGTGGATGGTCTCCGTGAAGGCCGGCCAAGGAGACGAATGCTCATACTTGGAACGGCTGGAGAAAAGATGGTGATCACACTTGGCGCATGCGTAAATTCCTACAGGAAGACAAAATGGATTTAGATGCCTCCAAATTAAATATTACACATACCTCAGAACTGTGAGGCAGAGGCTGCCTCACAGCTGAGGGTTGAGGTTCGAATCCCTGTTCCAGCCTTCCTGTGTGGAGTTTACGTGGGTTTTCGCCAGTTTCATCCGGTATTTAAAAACAAACATACAATAAAAAAACAGGACAGTTCACTAGTGGGTCTAAATCGGCCAGAGGCGTCAATACGTGTCTAAATGTTGTTGTGTTTTTAAACCATGGGTAATGACGTCGATTAGGACGCCAGTTATCGTGTTAGACAAAGTGTGAGATGGCTGTTTTGGAAGGGTTGTGCAATTCACGTTTTTTTTTTACAAAAGTTCTTAGTTTTTAATTTGTATAAATTACACCATTCGAAGGCAACTTCTCGGTTATGTCGCACATAGGCAATTAATTTAAATTCCTTGTCTTAGCTGTCGAGACATCTGAAAAAAAAAATAAAAGAGTTGAATAACAAGCTTAGCTAAGCAGCTAGCTCGCCACAGTTGACTTGGAATGTTAAGGAGTTCTAAATGGCAACGAATTACGAAAGAACATCGAGTAAAGTCTCGTTAGTTGTAACAGCACCTGGTTTGAAATGGTCTTTGTAAACCTCCCGACCATAGAAGGCACAAAAGGACATTTCCACCTGCCTTTAGTCGAGTTGATGCAGAACGAAACAATAAAGCTTGTTTAGTAAAACTACCGGTTATGACGATTAAAGAGCACGCAAATCGTACGCATCAACAACTTCCGCCTTGAAATCACAACTGCGGCCAGGCCAGCCTCCACTCGCAAAATTGAAGTCAAACCAGCCGTCACAGCGATTGTTAATACTCTGCATTACGGTAATCTGCCGCCATCGAGCGGCGTTGCCCACCTTCAAAATAAAAGTAGACCAACTAATGCATGCACGTCAATGGTTTGGATTTTAAATGTTATAAAATAATTTCTTGGGTGTCAGGCAACGATGAGTTCACCAAGAGAGAACGAAAACTCTCTCAGAATAGCTCCAAGAGGCGTTCTGATGTTGAGATAGAAAATAAAGTCAATGGTACATCTACATCAATGAGTAAAATTTCACCTGATATTTAAAAAAATAATTACAAAATGAATCTGAGTTATCCTGCAACCACACAATATTTTGGACACACTAGGGCACCCCAGGTTTTCAACCACAGTACTGGCATTCAGTTCTGATGTTCAATTTCAAACTAAAAGGCCTCTGAAATATGACTTTTTGACCTTTTCGCTTGATTAAAAAAAATCATTAAAAATCTATTTTTGTTATCCCGGAACCAGACCAGGTGTAGGGCACACTAGACCACCCCAGGTATCCAACCGGATTACTTTCGTTCAGATCTGATGTGAATCCTTTGAATTTACAGAATACATGCACGTCATGGCGCATGGTCAGGATGGTACCACCTCTGCCTCAGTGTCACTTCCTCCTCAACAGTTGTATTTTAGTGATCAGTGAACACAACAGCTGTTGTCATCAACAGAAATTGTTTGTCGTGCCCAACATGGATGATTTGTTTGTGCCTCTCATGACATGGCCCATCTAGGCCATTCGCACCCTGGCAAATTCCACTTCATCACCGCCCATCCCCCACAAAGGCTGACAAACGGTGGCTAAAAATACTCAGTCTGCTGAGATGTGAATGAGTCCCCATTTTCCAATGGTTATTATTGAGCATGGGCATTTTTATGTTGAATCTGATTTCTTTTTTTAATCGCTGAATTTATTTTTTTAGTTGGTTGGAGAGAACCTATCCTCAGCGATTTGAAAAACTCTTGCCCAAACTGAAGGAACATCTCATTAAAAAAAATGTATGTGTATATATGTATGTTTGTTGCCATCTGTAAGAAGTGACTCTTGTTGGTTCAATAAAACCTTTATTTTATTTTTAATGATAAATTTCACCTTCCTTTCGGAAAACTCTGCTTCATCACGGAAAATACTGCCAAATATTTTAGACCTCCTCTGGTTGAGGCACAGGCGGAGTTTTCAAGACATCCTTCTTTTGTGGGCCCTGCAGGTATAAGCCAGAGGTCAGAAGTCAAGAACTGATGGGGGAGCACAAGAAGAAATCAACATGGTGGTGTCATGGGAAAAAGTCGCTGACCATAAAAGCTCTTTTCTCCTGCGCGGTCTGGAAGCGACCGTGACCAAACTTGGACGTGGTGTCAATGAATTTGAGCTCAATGGTTTCCAATGATTTGCGAGACGTGTGCACCAGCAAAGACTGGAAGGAACATAGTTATGAATATCTTGGAATATATAAGCCACCATTAAAAAGGTGAGACTTACCTTTCGGAGTGTGAGGACGCGTTTCTTGGCACCGACTACGCAACCTTTCACCATGACAAAATCATTATTCACCTCTCCGTAGTGTGGAAAGCCTCCCTGCATTTGAACACACATGGTGGAATAACACCCTCAACACTGGTCAACAGCAAATTTTAAATATGGCTTTGCCTCCCTAAACATTTTTGATGCTGATTTCTAAAGTGTCCTTTTTTCCAAGCACGTCAGGTTTTTGAGATTTTCATTTTTACCGATGAAAAAAAAAGCTTTTGCAATATGAATATCACCATGCATTTTAATTTGTAGCTAAGACGTTTCTGAAAAAATCCACCTGTTACTGAACCTGATCTTTAATTCATAAATATTAAGAAAATATATATATTACACATTCTGCATCTATCCAACTTCTGTACTTCTTATTCTCACTCAAGTTGAAGGCACGCGGGAGCCTAACCCAGCCACCAAAGAGCAAGAGGCGAGGTTCGCCTTGAACTGGTCACTAGCCAAAAGCATGTTATTAGAAAAACCAGATGTTCTACAATAAATAAAAAAATCAATAAGGGCAGATTTGGAGTCAGTGCAAAAAAAAATAAAAATCCTATAAAAAATATTATTTGCATCTGTGATTTAAAAATTGTAAAAATTCATTGACCGGTGAATTATAACAATTAAAACAGGCATATATTATTTATCTTCAGCGAAGAATGGTCAGCGAAGAATGGTTAGTATTACTGTGGCTGGCCAAGGTGCGCACACCAGAAGGAGCAGCACAATGTCCACTGAAGTGAAGCAGAAATAAATGTGGCAGAAATTGCTCAATTCTTTACATTCAGTGCTATATTTTTATAAAGTTCAATATTATTCAGTGCTATTTTTCACATGTTACTGACTTTTTTGGAGGGGGTGGGGGGTGTTGAAACAAGATAAATGCCATTTCCATTTATTTCAATGAGAAAAGATGAATTGAGCTGTCACGGTGGACGACTGGTTAGCACCTCCGCCCCAGAGAGCAGAAGTGCAGGGTTCGATTTCAGCTGGCAACCGGTCCAGGGTGTACCCCGCCTAGTGCTTGAAGACAGCTGGGATAGGCTACAGAACACGCACACGACCGCTGTGAGGATAAGCGGACAAAAAAATGGATGGATGGAAGATGAATTGAGATAGGAGTTCTTAAAGTTACCAATACCAGCATGGTCACGGAACAAGTTAATCTTGAGGCACCTCTGTATGTGTTTTCACAGTTGTAACGATCTTCTGAGGAAAACCCTAACTAAAATATGGCCCACGACGAAAAAGAGCCCGACGCCCCAGCTCAGCAGTCTCAAAATGTCAATACCATGGGGGAAATGGTCTTCTGGCTGATGTCATAGCTCGTGGAGGCATTATTCCGGATCACCTTTCCATCCTGGATATGAACGCCTCGACCAATTCGATAGATCTGAGGACAGCAGGAGATCAAACGTTGATGTCCAACATCGAAAGATAACAGCATTTTGGTCGCAAGCACAACACGGACCTTCTTGTTGATCTCAGTACGGTGGTGAAAGCCCTTTTGACCTGCCCGTGCTATACTGAAGCCCACTCGAGCTGGATGCCACGCTCCGATGCACGCCACCTTCCGCAGCCCCTTGTGAGTTTTCCTGGGGAGCTTCTTTGTGTGCCAGCGGCTTGTTACACCTGTTACCAAATGACCAATGACATTACCTGTAGACTTTTTTATTTTTGTAAAAAAAAAAAAAAAAAAGGAATAATAATAATGATAGTCGCCAGGTTGTTTCCGGGTGGCAGAAAGCAAGAGATTACCATTGACCTGAACTGAAATCTATGTTGTGCCACTAGATATGTTTCAAAAGGTTTAGAGGTGGTTCCCACCCAGTGACAGTGTGAATGTGGGTGTGAATGGTTGTTCGTCTCTATATGTTGCCCTGACTGGCGACCAGTTCAGGGTGTAGTCCACCTTCCGCCCAAAGTCAGCTAGGATAAACTCCAACACCCCCATGTGACCCTGTTCAGGATAAGTGGTGTTGAAGATGAATGGATGGTACTTTCGAGGATTTGTGTCGACCTCCTTCAAAATAAAGTATTCCAGTCCGTCGCTTGCTCGCAAACATCAGTCCTACAGTAAAATATCCATTCCAGCGTCAAAATAGCAAGACCTAGCAAGACCATTGCATTAATTCAAGCAATAGAAAACAAACTAATCAACTAATCTTAATAATCATGTTAACTACGTCTGAATTTCCTCCACCTCTATTTTGAAATCAATTTACCTCTTGAACTGTAATTTCCCTCATGTAGCATCATCCTTTCGACGGAAATGTTACACATTCGAACTACGGTGGTAGAGAAAAAGGCTAAAATCATTGTTCAGGCCATTTTCTCTGTTTTCCCAATTGCGTTGCCTTGGGTGGCCAAGTAGTCCCATTGCTGAAGCTTCTGCCACCTGGAGGTGCATGCGACATCATGGTGAAATCATATTTGATTTTCCTGATGATTGGCATCTAACCTTTAATGCCGTGACCCTTTGTAACCCCAATGATATCAATCAACTCGTCCTGGTGAAAAACTGCCGACACGGGCACCGCTTGCTCCAGGCGCTCCTTTGCCCAGTCGACCTTTTGCGAAATGCTCCCCCCGTTTAACTGCACCTCCAAGACGTGAGCCTTCTTCTGCTTTATGGGCAGCAATCGCATCTGAAAATTAGTTAAAAGACCAGCGCAGTAGAATCTAGAATAGTGGTTCCTAACCTGGGTTCGATCGAACCCCAGGGGTTCGGTGAATCGGTCTCAGGGGTTCGACGGGGCATCTGCCATGGAGGTAAAGACACACCCGACTTAACTTGTCAATTAATTATGATACGCCCGCTTGGCCATCGCTGGCTGCAGATGATCACATTACATTGCTTGTCCAATCAGTGCTGTGGGAAATTTAGTTCGCTTAGTCGTCAACGTGTGACTGTCGTGACAGTATGTCATGCACGGTTCATTTTGTGCACAATTTTAAAAAAATTATAGTTATGACTTGAAATTTTATTTACTTTTTTCTGTTTTAATAAATGTGTCTTTTTTTATGTCTTGAATTTGTAAAAAATCATTTTTATTTTTCACCAATGAAGGTTTGATGAATGTGCATTTGAACTGGTTGGGTTCAGTACCTCCAACAAGGTTAAGAACCACTGATCGAGAACATTGTAGTGAGAAATAAGACGCCCTCTGTCTCACAAAATCAGGTTTGAGCTAGCTATGAGAAAAGCATGAGATCACATCTGCTCTTAGAAGTGCATACTGATCGTGTTACCAAGCTGAAACCTTCGCACACTGTTATAAGTGGTCTTGGCTCACCTTTGCCTTGTTGCCTGCCAAAATCAAGGTTTTCCCCTGGCAAAGTCCGACACGTTCTGCTCTAAAAATTATTTTTAAACTGT